GGATGGATGGATGGATGGATGGATGGATGGATGGATGGATGGATGGATGGAAGGATGGATGGATGGATTGATTGATGGATGGATACAAAAATTATAATACTTATTAGTTAAACTAATTAAATAAGTGGTCCTAAATTTATTATGATAGTTGTAGTTGCAATATAAAATAATTCTAAGATATACAGACAACACAAAGAATTGCCATGCAAAAACTTAGGAGCTGCTCTGTAAAGTTTTCAAATGCATGTTCGCGACGAAACCCTATTCTTGGGATTTTAAGCTGCGTTAGCACTTCATCTTACATGTCATATCTGTTCCATTTTCTAAAAAATAAATATTATTTTTACAGACCGTACACGAACGAAGTCGATTTGATGTGAGACCGCCTCGGGTGCTACACGGATGATAGACATTCATAGCATAACACACACACGCACGCACACGCACACGCACACGCGCACGCGTTTTCGAAACGAAATCCGGTGATCATCGTCAACGTTACGAAAATAGAGGACGAGCGAAAAAAAAACGCGTTGAGAATCATAAACAGTTTTCTGTCTACATTACTGTTGCTGTGACCGTTGCAAGAGTTAGCTCATAGTCAAACACATTCATTCCCAGCTTCGATCTGCTTGATACAGATTCACACAGCATGATACTGTCCATCGCCTTTTTTTTTAACCAACTGCCCCAAAACACGCATTTTCCGTTTTCCGTTAGAGAGATGCAAGAGAATGAATTGTCTGGCCGTTCAGTTATTAAAATGAAAAAATTCATTTCGAAAATCTCTATCCACGTAGTTCGACTTTTTACTAATCAGAAAGAATCGTGATACTAGAGTTTAAACATTAGGTTAACTTAAGCTCGATAATTTTTTTCCCGGATAAAGACCAGTGGTTTGCCAAAACCAATCTAGTGACTTTGTTTAATATCCTATACCATGTGCAAATATATGCGCGACAACACTTGCGACATATTCTAGTTTAATTAATTTCCATGAAGCGATGCTACACAATTAATAAACGAATCTCAGGTGCTCTGGTCAATCACCAGCGGGTTAATACCTGCGCGTGGCATATTGGAATTGTAGTAAAATTCATGACATATTGACGATTTATAAACAACGTACATTAATAAAACTCGTTGGGTAGACAGATCTCACCAACCAGTAATAATCAACTCGTATCATTTGTCATTTATTAATTCGACAGTAATATATAGCTTCTGTTTAATTAGATCACTTCCTAACTACATCCAAGAAGCATTAAATTATGACTAGCCACATCTACTGTGTATTCAGATCACGAGCGCGCCATGATCGCAACTCTGGCTTATATCCGTTGAAACGTGGATACGTCCGTGGACAAATAATCATAGATTATAATTTGTATTTAAATATATAAATTGTGTTTTTGTAAGTAAGTGTCAATGTAAAGGAGGAAGGTGCCTTGAAGCTGGCAGTAACCAAACATGTCGTATTTGTGCGGAATTAATAGTAATGCTCAATGCTAATAGAATGAAATTGCGAAGGCTGTAATACGCTGCAAAAATTGGCTATTAGAGAAACGTTTCCCACCAACAGACCCGCTCTCCCTCGCACACACGCACACACACACGCACACACACGCACACACACACG